CGAAAAGCCGCGACCGCATGTCGATATCTGCCTTATCGTCCCTACCCGCGTTCACATGAATATGCAGATCAGTTGACAATCGGAGCTCGAAGCCTATTTGCAAGTTGCAGGTTTACCGGTGAAACGCGATGGCGAAAATATAGCCATTATACCTGTGTATACGGATCTGGAAGCTTTAAATGGAAAATAGTGTATAAAGAAGTCTGTAAAAGGTGCGCTAAGAATAACTGCAAACCAGAAGTGAATTGAGCTTTGAACTGTGTAAGTGACGCGGCGGCTGGGCTTGAAAGAGATCGGGATAACTCAACATCACTATACAGGGTGTTTCTGATTCGACACTCACCATTGGGATCTCGGAAACTGTAAGAGATACAAAACAGCTTAAATAAGGGCAAGATGCCGCTTAGAGAGTTTTGGAAAACACAATACTGCCGAAGAGAGACACAGAAAACAAATTTTCATACAATCGTTTTAAGTTTTTCCTGACTTTAATTGTAGTGGGATATCAAAGTAAATTGCGCATTAACATTGCCTCCTTTTCTCCTCTACAAGATGGCATAATTAGAATTCCAATATGACGTTTCGTCGTCAATTTGTCCTTCCGCATCAACTTTATTTTTTCTTATAGACGCCATATCGGTGAATACAGTTTTTAATACTGATTCCAAAAATGTAGAGCACGTCATACATTAACGTTGCCAAACCTTAGTATTTCAAAAAAGCAAACTGTTCTAGGTAGGCCTTGAAATTATCAGATTTCAATTGTTTGGTATACCAGACCAGACCTCAAATTAATCATAGCAACAGAGTTTGGAAGACTAAGAAGAAGAAAAATAAGTCGATCAGTGAACAATGTACAGAGAAGAGTCAGATTTTGCCAGAAGATAACGGACATTTTTAATATCTGCTATGATTTACCTCTGCTTATTTATGATTATAAGTGTTATTACCATCAATAAACTGTTCGTGTTGTGTTCAGGTTGCACCATACCCTTTTATTTCCTTATAATTTTTATCTAACAACGAATTCAAGGCCAAATAAGGAAATACATAACTGAATTTAGGACTAAAAAGTCTATTAAAATGTACAAAACTCCAACATGAAAAAACAAATTTGGTGATGGAAGTCGAAAAAAAAATGTCTAATTGAAAATTTAAACTCACCATTTTCTAAGGAAGAAAAAAAAAACAATGACAACATGAAATTAATTTTGAAATCTCAACTCAAATGAAGTCAGGAAGAAACAATAGTGATTTTGGGATAAATCTGGTATGCGAAACAGATGACAATCTGGTAATTTCAATGCCTACCTAGGATATTCTGTTTTTTTTTAATTAAAAAAAATTGGCAATGCGAATATATGACGAATGATACATTTTTGGTATCAGAAAAGTGGTCTGTGGCTTGTAGTTCCCGTATGAGAGGCAAGACCAAAGCATATCTGCAAGTTATAGGCTTACGCGTAAAATATCGTATAGACGAGTCTAAAGCTTTCAGATTAGGAAGAAGTCCTTATAAACATAAGATGATATTGGGCTATAAAGTTTTTTAGTGTTATGGAGTCTGAGCTTAGAAAAGGATGAAAAAGCTCATCAAGACAGTATAGGAGTAAAAAGGCCACTGGAGTTAACCGTCCATTAGAACTCGTTTGTAAAATGTTAAGGTATAGGAACTGTCTGCAAAACATCTGTAAGCTGATTGTTCTTTCGATTCCATGTACCTATATTCCAATCTTTTTACGAATTGTTTTTGGTATCCAATCTTACCTGTTTTTTCTCTTTACAACTTTCCTTGACTCTCTTTGTACGTTTTTTCCATCTCAATAACGTCGCCGGCGCTGTTTACATAGGTTTTATTACTCTTATTTAGAACTTTTGTCCTAAATATAAAAGGTGACTGTGGCTTTGTTGCTACAAACAGAAGTAGCAATGGATTTTCTTGAATCCAATGTTTCCATTAAAATCAGTATCGACGATGTAAATTGTAAGACTACAAAGTATCCCCAAAAAATATTAACGTACAATACGAGTCATTCGATCTCAAGTGGTACAGTCTGCGTCCCTAAATTAATCGAATAATTTCAATAATGGAATACGTATTATGTGAAGCCTGCTTTTTTAATCGGAATTGTTGGTATGTGTCAAATTTTTAAATATCTTTTAGTGAGCAGAATATTCTAAATTTGGCAACTTCATTAATGTTACAAGACTAATTTCTATCATTGTCAGCGTTAGATCATCAATTCCACGAGCACCCGATCTTAAGCTATCTATAGTCTGTAGTATTTCATGTGGCTTAATGACTCTTAAAGAAAATCTGTTCAATCGATTGAGTTTATGTGCATTATAAAATTGAGTTTGAGTGTATATAATATTCAATTAACGAGAGAATTGGTTTCAGAGGAAACGCGTACTCACTGATCGAAAGTTATTTGTCAAATCGCCCACAATCTGTGCAGATATCAGGATCATTTAGTAAAGAAATGTATATTAAGTGTGGTGTCCCACAAGGAACTGTCTTAGGTCCGCTGTTATTCAATATATATTTAAATGATATTTTCCAAATTAATTGTGTTGGCTAAATAACTAGTTTTGCAGATGATACTGCAATATTATATGAAGGCACTCACTGGTCTGATCTGAAAAATGTAATTGAAAATGATTTTATCAAAATTATTCAGTGGTTTAACAGTAGAAAATTAAGCATTAACTACTCTAAAACACATGTTTTACCATTTGGATCTTATGCTAGACATCTGCCAAATTACACAAATTTCTCCTTCAATATTAATGATCAAAAAATGCAAATTAATAGAGTGCCCAACATAAAATACCTTGGAGTGGTCTTGGATCCTCACTTACGATGGGACATCCATGTCAATTATATTTTAAAGAAAGTTAGATTTGTATCCTACAAAATTAAATACCTTGGGAATATATTGACAGAAAAATATCTTCGAACATTATACCATGCACTGATTGAGCCTCATCTCATATATGGTATATTAGCATGGGGAGCTGCATGTTCCTCACATATCTATAATTTAGATGTTTTTCAAAAAAGTATTCTAAAAATGATATTTAAAAAACCGAAACTTTATCCCACTGAAAAATTATACGCAGATGTTCGAATGTATGATATAAGACAGCTTTATTTCTTACACAGTATCACTCACTACCATAAATTTGTAAACACCGACCAAAAAATTAAACAATCATTATACCAGGTACAAAATTCGTGGCACAGTAGTTCCTCAACCGCATAAATCTATAATGCAGCGATCATATCTCTATTTAGCGCCTAAATTTTATGAAATTATACCTAAAGACTTAAAAGATTTACGTTTCGGAAATTGTTTCAAAAGAAATTTAAAAAAGTGGCTACATTCTATATCTAGGACTGAAATTCATAAACTCATAAATACGAACATCAACTAAATACATAATCTACTGTAGCTAATTTTTGTCCTTTTTTGTCATTTGTATTCTACAGTTTCAACTTAAATTATTGGTCCATGTACAGGCGATGCCTTCTATTGGGCCTGTTGTGATTTTATATTTATTTACTCATATTGTTTGTTATCTTTGTACATTGAGTGAATAAATATTATTATTATTATTATTATTATTATTATTATTATTATTATTATTATATCATTAGGATATCTTAAAATACAATTGTACGGCCACCAGAAGTATTTAAAAATGTATATCTAAAAAAAAAACCAGTTTTATATACTACTTTTTCAATATTTTCAAGATTGCATAATACATTAGTTTTACAGAAATAGTTTTATGTTTCCACACCTGTTCGCTACCGAGGAAAGGTTAAAAATCGGATTTATGTTATTATTTGTCACTTGTCACTGTCAACAAAAAATAACAAAACAAGTTTTTATCGCTGTTGCTGTGGATACGGCAGGGAATTACAATTGTTTGTAGAGGTATGCATGTTAGTGGGTTTGTGTTCAAATAATTATTAAATGTACTAATATTTTGTAGTAGATAAAGGTATTGACTTTATATTATAAGGTTATAAAGTACTCGTCGGGAGCTTCAAAAAGATGTGCCACAAGACCCCCGTTTTCATATAATATTTCTTTTCGGCCGAGTCGATAGTTTCTTTCATGCTGATGGATTTTATTTGTCGGCTTGTAGATGGTCTTCACGTTGGGTTTCTGCAGCAACCTTCCTATTCTATCCGTGATGCCTTTAATGTATGGTAGGAAGGATACTTCCGCAGGTGGTTCCTTGTCTCCTGCCGGCGGTCTGCTTTTTTATCGTGAAACCTGTTGTATATTCTAGAGTTATAGAGTACGCATAAAGAACTTAAAATGAGGTATAACACGACCTCCATTCCATTTAAAGAAACGTTCCAAAATGGCACCCAGCCGCCATCTAGAAATTTTCGACTGCCTCTTACGCTAAAATGCATCAATATCATAACCCTGTAATTCAGTCTGCCAACTTAACCCGTTCTAAAAATAAGTAGGGGAGGGGGCTTTTTGAAAAGCACTATATTAACTTAAAAACGCTTTTCTTCAAAAATTGTCAAAGAACGAAGTCATCGAAATAAGACAGCACCAAGTGCCATCTATTACCAGAACCAAGCACTGTTATATTACTAGAACGACGTTCCATTTCGTCCAAAGAATCGGTCTTAATTTTTGCCTCATGTTTAGGAAATATCTTGTAGAAGCAAAAAAGGTAGATCTCTATTGAGTATGCATAAACAACAATAAAAGCTATAAAAATACACTAACATCAACAATATAGAGAAAACAATGACTGATAACAATACAAAAAATCAGTACACCTGAATAAGTAACATAATAATGAGTGCAGTAACAAATACTGTGGATCGTGAGAAGAAAGTGGTGAGAGTGAGTGCGAAGATGGTTGAACATGGTGAAGAGGGCGACGAACCAAAAGGAGCAAACAATGTGGAGATAGGGAATACAAGAACGGATGACCAGTGGGAAGATGAGGAGGAGATGGTTAATACCTTCACGAAGAAAAGGAGAGAGAGTTTGAAGAACGATGTGTATGATATTTGTGGGAAGGTAATTATTAGCATATTTGGCAGCACTATTTAAATTGTTGAAAATTATTACGAGCTTTTACCAACATTGGTTCTGCAATTAAATTATCATTGTCAACCTGCTACCGTGTCCGCCAAAAGTTTGTGAAACACCAACATAAATTTTCAATATTCGAAATACTCGTATACTGCCATGCAAAATTAACCCGACAAACAAAATTTTTTTCGTGGAGGAAATACTCGTTATTGATAACAATTTCTAATTACCAATGATGTCGATGTAATTTTTTAAATCAAGTTGTTTATGGATATGATTCGCATGCTTTTCTTCAAAACAGCATATATTTTTTAATAATTGAGATATTGACATGAATCAAAAAAAGAACTGTTGAGAAAAGTTGAAGCTTGAAATTGTTATACAAAGACACCTTATTCTGTAATCAAATGTTTCCACAGGGTGTTTAGAAATCTAGAGCTAAATGCACCTTTCAGTTACAACCTGTATAACAACAAATATTTTCAATTTTTTTGCAAGATCGGCAGCCGATAAAGATGACAATAAAATTACCTATAACTTGACGGACAAATTAACGAAATTCATGCAAAGATTAAAAAGTTATTTCAAATTCAATTTAAACAAAATTTTGTTAGTCCGGTTAATTTTGCCTAGCAGTGTAGTTTTCATATGAGTTGAGGGAAAAGGTATAAAAATATTGTATAAACGATACAGTCAAGTGGATGGAAGCTTTCAACATCTGCAATTTTTGCAAAAGCGTGACTTTGTTCATTCCAAGGCCTTAAAAGAGATTATCATAAGCATTGCTTGACGTATGATAAGATGTCCAACCTAAGGCTATAATCACGCGTCTAAAAAAATATACGAGATGAAATGAGATACCGTAATGTCATCAGTGAGGATTTGTCATAGGTGTTTCTCTATTTACTATTTTCTTACTATTTTATTTACTATGTACAGGGTGTTTCAGAACTATGAGATCAAACTTGTAGGGGTTATTCAGGCGCTTGTGTGTTGTTATCTTTAAAAACGATAACAGAGATTGTTTTTTGTAGAGATGTGAAGATGTAAGGTCTCCTCTATCTCTTGGTAAAACTCTCCGGTCTTCGTCAAGCTTTTTCCTCACAGCAGTAACGTTTTCCTCTGTTACTGACGTTCGGCCTTCCTTTCCTCTCAGTGTCCTCCAGAGTGAAATTGCCCATTTGGAATTTTCTGTAGCACCTGAATATAGTCGTACGATGAGGACAATCATTCTACAATGCAAGTGTCATTTCTTCAAAGCACTGCTCTATGATTAAACCACGCGTAAAGTTATACTGTAAAAGTGTCCTTATCTCACTACGTGACCACGATGCCATAGTCCGCACTTTATACTGTCAATACGAATGAACAACTTAATCAACAGACGTGCTGCTGCTTGTTAAGTCATATTGCAAAAGTTTTCTACTACCCTAGTTACGGTTTGACTTGTACAGGGTAAATAAAAATTATGATTCATTACCCCTACTTTGACTGACTCGGTGGGGTGACTCCAGTTTCCAATCAGACCGCAATGCTCTCCGTTATCTAAAATCAAAGTTTTTCTATAATTCGGTTTTTTATTCACGTCAATATGTCGATTTGTTGAAGTTTTAGAGGCAAATGAACATTTTACCACCAATTTTCCTTCTCCCTTTCATAACTTTGTTAAGTACCGTAAGAATTCAAAAAGTTTCACACCAAATTGAACAGAAATATATTATCTTCAGGTATTAGGTTCTCATTTCTTTATATCGTTATTGATCAGTTTATCTATAATGACGGAGAAAATGAAAGCTTTTGACTTTACTTAGGACCACGCTGTATAATAATTTCACGTTCTGCCCTTTTGAAATACAGTGTCAGGCAATAACCATATCTCAAATACAGAACTGTGACATACAATTGTTGCGCTAACAAACACAACAGTGATACTCTTCGCGTTATGAGAGGAAGAAGGTAAATTGGTAGTAAAACAATAATTTACCTCTAAAGTTTCAATCACTGCACATATTGACATGGATGACAAAGCAGATTATAAAGAAAATGTGGTACTTAATAATGGAAAGTATAGCGATCTGCTTGACAACTGAAGTCATACCACACAGTGTCTCAAAGTTGGGGCAAAGAAACATAATTTTGATTTACTCTGTACAAAATGTCAGAATGCGGTTACAGTCAAGAAATCAGATATCCAGATTTAATCCATTCCTACCGCCTGCCAAAAAAATCAAGCAAATATATTTGAAAGTGAAAACGTTATGACGTACCGAATTTGACCAAAATTTTGCTTCTTACTTTTATTTTGAACCTGAGTGTATATATTCTGGAGAGCATAACTATAGCTCCACCAACAATTGTCGTGTTTTCTATATAAGCTTCAAATGTAATTTTATACAGGGTGTTTCAGATTATTGTTGCAAAACTTTAAGATTCGATAGAACTTTTAAAATTAATGCATAAAGTCTATATAAACATGGGTCGAAAAATGCGTGGCTTCCGAAATACAGGGTGTTTAAATTTACTTTCTAAAATAGTTTTTTTTAAATATTTCGAACAATATTTGATGTAAAACAGTGAAAATTGGTATACAAGGGCTTTTTGGTACGACAAAACGAACCATGGGCATAGTTTTACTGTAGCCGCTAGAGGGCGCTCTCTACTGTACCTGTAGTGTATTAAAATGACCGAAAAATTTTTCTTAGTACAATTTTTTGCGTTTTTAATGAAAAAACTGATTCTTCGCACTTTTAAACATAAAAAAGCTCTCCTCTCCTGTGAGTTTTCGTTATAGTTAGCCGTTTTTGACATATTTCGATTTTAAAGGTTCGATGCATTTTTAATTATTTATGGGAAAATAATATTTTTTTTACATTTTCGATTTGGGCATTACAAGTAATTAAGATGATCGTTTAGATTGTGTTTTTAAACATATCAATAATTCCTAACTCCAAATAAACACAAAAAAAACAGAATATTAATTTGTTTAATTTTCCAATATTATTTTTAACAAATTAAATTCATTATTTACAACTAAAATGCTATTGGATAGTTAGGACAAACGTACAAAATATAAAGTAGTTGCTCGAAAAGTAAACCCAATTGTTCAATACACAATTCACATGTACGAATGATCGAACGTGGTATAGCATTATTCAAATAAGGCCTTATTTCATCACACGCATTCCTGATTCTGTCTATTAGCATATCTCTTGTGGTTACGGGAGTCTGGTACACTTTTTCTTTTAGAAATCCCCACACAAAGAAATCTAATGGATTTAGGTCAGGGGATCGTGGAGGCCAGGCGACTGGTCCTCCACGGCCGATCCATCTTTCTGGATAATTTTCGTCCAGCCAGTTTCTAACTATTCTCGAATAATGAGCTGGACAACCATCAAGCTGGAACCAGGTCAATCTTCTTAAATCTAACATAACATCATCCCACATATTTGCATGTTCAGCCTTTAAAAATTCCAAGAAGGTCGCAGCATTTAACCTTGCAGGCAAAAGGTAGGGTCCAAATAGTCGATTACGGTAGATACCAATCCACACGTTCACACTAAATTCATGCTTAAAATTTCTTTCCCGAACTGCATGCGGATTTTCATGCGACCAAATATGTTGATTATGACAATTTACCACTCCACGTCTAGTGAACCATGACTCATCGGTCCATAAAACGTTACTTAAAAACTCCCTATTATTATCAGTTCTATCAAGAATCCACTGACAAAATGTGATTCTTCGTTCTCCGTCCCCTGGCTGTAGTCCTTGCACAGGTTTCAAATGGTAAGGACGTCTATGGTCATTTCTAAGAACACGGTGAACATGGCTTGCTGAAATTCCCAAGGCACCAGAAACTCTCCTAACACTTGTGGTCGGATCTCTATCAAACTCACGCAGAATCATACGGGTAAATCTGCGCTGACGAATATTTATGTTTTGATCCCTTTGGAGATTTCCAAAACCGTTTTCAATTATTTGGCGATGCACTCTTACAAATACTGAGCGAGTTGGATGTCGTCTGTTTGGCAATCTTCGTGCGTATTCTCTGGCTGCTTCTGCTGCGTTTCCATTTACAAAGCCATACTCAAAATGAATATCCGCTAACTCTTGATTGGAGAATAAAAAGGGCATTTTTATAAAACAGGTAAAAGAAACTAAATTTCGTGCATTCACAATTGCAAAAAAACGTTTCAGGTTTCAGCAGACAACAAAACTAACTGTCAACTAATTGACGTTTAACATTATTCTGCTTTCAATTTCAAAAATATTTGCAGGCACAGCCTACTTCTAAAAATTATCGAGATACTGACTTTTTAACGTTATTTTATCATAAATAATTAAAAATGCATCGAACCTTAAAAATCGAAATATCTCAAAAACGGCTAACTATAACGAAAATTCACAAGAGAGCTTTTTTATGTTGAAAAGTGCGTTTTTTTATTCAAAAAGCCAAAAATTGCACTAAGAAAAAGTTTTCGGTCGTTTTAATACACTACAGGTACAGTAGAGAGCGCCCTCTAGCGGCTACAGTAAAACTATGATTCGTTTTGTCGTACAAAAAAACCCTTGTATACCAATTTTCACTGTTATGCATCAAATATTGTTCGAAATATTTAAAAAAAACTATTTTAGAAAGTAAATTTAAACACCCTGTAATTCGGAAGCCACGCATTTTTCGACCCATGTTTATATAGACTTTATGCATTAATTTTAAAAGTTCTAACGAATCTTAAAGTTATGCAACAATAAACTGAAACACCCTGTATAGTTTGTAGGTACGAATTTGCTGTTAAATCAATTAGAATAAGCACCATACTGATTATACATTATTTTTGCTCGTTTTATAATCGCTAAGTTATATTAAGTCACAATTGAACCGAAGGCTGTGGACGGTGCTATAGTTATGACCTCCAGTTTATATAGTGGATAGAGAAAGAGCTGTGATAAATTCTCGTAGACGATACTACGGTAACTCATTTTAT